TAGTCAGCTCAACAGCCTCTGCACCTGCATGCATGGTAAATTTGTATAAGCAAAGATGACAAGGTAAATTGATAACTTAAAATAGTTCCTAGTTTTTACAATATCTTCCTAGTTTTCTCCTAGTTTTTTGTTGCTGTTTCTTCCTAGTTTTCTCCTAGTTTTTTATAATATACTGCTGGAGAGCCTGTATATGGTGTAATTCAAACAGCAGCTAAATATACTATATGTGCATCATATTATTATTTCTGTCCATGAAATGCAGTTATGCTTAGTAGAAATTGTGTTGTGTTTCTAACATAAATTTTTTGTACAATGTATTTTATTCCTTTTCAGATTGTTTTGTATATTATTATATCAGCATCTTGTGGAGGACTGTCATGGCCAAATTGTGTCTGAGCAAGAGCTTAATTTTACAACAAATATATTACATAAGAACACTTTTTTTCCATCATCTTTCAAGCCTTAGCATAAATAAAGCTGTGTATGCTATCACTTTTGAGAGTTCTGTTTAAAATTGTTATTGTACATGTATATTGTTCTGTCAAACCCTTTGCTAGTTCTTTAATTTTTATAAATAACAGTACAATAAAAGTGTTGGCTTAATCTCTTAAACAAGTTGTAAAAATTAAAGTATTGATTTTGAAAATTAATGTTGTTCATTTGTATTTATTTTCTTGTTCTTTTATTTAACATCAGTAATAAATGTACAATTTTGAAAAAGTTTTAATGTGTTCTCAATAATGTACAGCTTAAATTGAATGAAAATTACTGTGAGACATAAGAAGAAAGTATTAAATTTACTCAACATTTCACTTTACTTTGCTATGTGCAAGTTCTCAGGTTTAGCTAACAGTATAAGGTTTAGACTGATTTTAAAAAATCTGAATATTCTAAGCAGTTCTGAATGTTCTTGATCATTATTTGTTGCTGTGTTATTAGAAAAGTTCAATGAAATTACTGACATATTGAAGTGGATATACAAAGTTTAGCACTAAGGACCAAAAAATTTGTGCTTGTTTCCCTTCTCAAAATATAAACAACATAATAAAACAAGATTTATCATAACTGTTAGAAATAAAAAAATCATTGCTTATTACCTGCTACCTTGCTGTTAAAATCAACATGTAAAGCATTCATGGATCTACTCTTTGCTGAAAATATTCTAGCTATAAGCACAAAATATACTGATAAAGAGTTTTAAGATACTTTTATTATACAACAAGTATGGCCCCAAAGCAACTGACAGAGGATGGCATAAAGTATCCTTGTATTGAGCTAATTGTGTTTTCTTTGTGCTTGTTTCTGTTTTATCTGTTTCTGTATGTAACTTGTTTATTGTCCCCTGCTGGAACAGCAGTAAGTATACAGACAAACACAAACACATAAACAAGTTATTTATTGTGTTGTAAGTTTGAAACTAAAAGTAATGGGTATGCACCATTTTGGTTAGTGCTAATCTTTGTATGTTTGTATTTACATGTATCTTGTTTAATAAAATGTTTCAAATAATCCAGCAAAAATCAAAAGTGTGGTTGACATATTACTATACACTTTTTACTTTCATTCAGAAGTTCTTATTGGTAATATATTGCACTCACTCACACATGATAGGTTGGAACTACGATAAAATACCATGATTTTGTTAACCCATTTCAAGCCTAGCTGCACTAGTTAAGAATTTGCATAGTGTGCTCCTGAAGAAGTTTGTAAAGTGAAAAAAAGAGTAAATTTAATATTCTTTTGAAGCCTCATGCTAAGTTTTCACACTGTTTATTGTGTTCTTAATATTTCTGATAGCACCACATAAGTTCAGCAATGTGAAGTGTAATTCTGAGGTATTCTCTGTATGGTTTTATAGGTTTCAGTGTTTGGACACATTTGATATAAATTATCAGAATTCACTAATTGTATATATCAGGAATTTGTATTTCAAATTTTTACTGATAAATGGTTTTACTTTTACAAATAATCTAGCTTACAAACCAGGATCTTTTTACGAAGTAATAATAATGAATGGATATGTTCGTAAATAGCCATTACAGATTATACGTTAAAGCTACAATTTTTATGCTAAAACTGAATTGTTGCAAGAGTTGTCTTAAAGCATCTTTGTGAATTGTTAGCCAGTATGCAAAAAAAAAGTTTTCTTTGCGATCTGTGTATCAGAAGCACATATTTTGTTGTCTGAAAGTTGTAAGTTGTTTCTTTAACTAGATCTTAATAGATAGTTCCTCTTTAGCTTAACTTATGGTAAGGATTTTATAAAGAATTATTTTACTTGACTATTGTCTTATTTCATTTTTGCTGCTTCAAGGTTTCACATCACCTACTTCAATAACCTATACCAGAATTTAGACTAATTGGTTTTCCTGGATTTTGCACATACATCTTAGTGGTCAGTGGCCAAAGATCACATAATTAAAGGATAATAGATATCATGCATTATGCAAATATGATTGACTTTTTTTTATGTGTTGTGGAACTATTTTAATGTGTGCAATTGTTTAATATAAAAATGATACTTCAATGAGTGATGTCATAACCAAATTTTTTTTGGTTCTAATTATATAAATTGCTTATTATACATACATTCTAGTGACACGACATCTTAAAAATGTTATAAAACATCATACGTTATGGTAAACCAATAACTTTTGCATAAAATGTGTATGCAAGTAGTAACAACAATAAGCTTGAAATTGCTGTATTAAAAAAACTAGTTGAAACACTGGCTAATTATGCATAATGTTGTAATTTTATCGACCAACTATTACTCCTAACGACAAACATAGCTCTTAGCAGTTGACTGAGCTTCACATTTTAATAGAGATATTTAGTTTTGTTTATCTTTCTTGAAGTATGTTCAGCTTTAAATTCAGTTGAAATTTTATTTTGGCTCAGCTTGATGATGGGTATAGTTCAGTAGCATAAAACATAACTTATTTCTGTCTTAATAATTGTATTTACAAGCTTTTGGACTACAGCAGAGCAGAGCTCATCTCAGACATTTTCAAGCTGTTAAGACATTTCTAATATTCTTGTTCACTCAAACATATCATTACTAATAATCTTGTTGCTGAACCCATTTCATTCAGCTATGATTTTAATCTGTTAATCAGCCACATTTCTTTTATATGTGAAACTTTTCTTGTCACATCCTCCAGCAAAACCTTTAAATATACTGTGATGTATGGCAGTATAACATTTACCAAGATTGACTTGGGATTTGTCACTAAATTTAACATTTTGTGCGTATGTGTTTTCTAACCATCTAGTGGTCAAACCAATATATGTATTCAAATTCGATGATGAGGAACCCACTTTGAGACTAATAATGGCTGGAGACGGCTTGAATAGGTAATGAAGAAAAACTTTAATATAAGTTTAACATAACAGCAAATGTACAACGTT